CATCCAGCAGCTGCGAGTGGAGGCGTGGGGAATCAAACCCAGCTCTCCCAGATTAGAGCTGGCACTCCTAACCACTACACCAAACTGGCTCTCTGAGGGCCAGCAACCTGCTTTGTTCTCATCAACTGGAGATGGGACAGGATACCCAGCCGGGTTATAGAGAGATGCAGAACAGACACAGCCTTACTTGACGTCTCAAAAAGTCCCTGGGACACTTACTCGCACGTGGTGCAAATGGGGCTGAAGTTGCAGAAGACTGGAAAACAAGAAAAACAAGAAAGGTTTGGTTCAGGTTGGTCACGTCACGCCCACTGGCCAAGCAGAGCCCTGTAAACGCGGCTGGATCAACTCACTCGACAGGCACACGGAGCAGACGTAGCCAATCTCGATGAGGTTCCTGTGGCAGAAGCAGGCGGCCCGGTAGTCCACGTGGATGGGGGGCGGCAGGATCAGCTGGGATCGCTGCTCTTGGTCAGGCAGGTACACCCACTGCAATCGGAAAATGGCCTCCTTTTAGCATTTGGGGAGCAGCTGCTGGATTAGAGGACCTGTAAGCTGCCTCGAAAGCAAGAAATTGCAAGTAGATAAATAGGTACCACTTCGGTGGGAAGGTAACAGCGTTCCGTGTGCCTTGGTGCTTAGTCATGCTGGCCACATGACCACGGAAACGTCTTCGGACAGCGCTGGCTCTTCGGCTTTGAAACGGAGATGAGCACCGCAACCCTAGAGTCGGATGCGACTGGCTTTCGAGCAAGGGAACCTTTACCTTTACCTTTAAGCTGCCTCACCGGAACAGGCCAGAGGATCCAGCCAGCCCAGCACTCCATCTTTGACAGCAGCCAACCAGATGCTGTGGGAACCTTGCTACCACCTGTTGCTTGCCCCCAGCAGCTGATATACTGCTGCTAAACATGGAAGTTCCTGTTAGCTAACACGCTAACAGCTACGAACAGATGGCTGCTCCATGAAAATGAAGCCAAGCAACTCAAAATATTAGAACGAAATAAACTTACCCGTTTACCTCCCCATGAAAACTGGTGTTAATAATAGCTTGAGGCTCATTTGAACATACAAGACAGTCCTAAACAGAGTCTGACCCTTGGCCCATCTCACGCAGCACCTTCTGTTCTGAAAGGCAGTGGCTCTCTAGGCCAGGGATGTCAAACATAAAGCCCGGGGGCCGGATCATGCCCACGGAGGGCTTCTATCAGGTCTTCAGTGGAACTGGCTGTCTTCTGCTTCTTCTTCCAGTTCTGCTGCTCCTGCGTCATCGTAGGTTTGCAGCTTACAGATACACACCTGAACGGCATACTCAAGATTGCAAACAGCACAGACATTTTGATGCAGTAATTCAGAGCAAGAGGTGTCAGTTATCAGACACTGTTAAATAAACAAAAGATTGCGAGAGTGCTAAAGTTTGAAGCATGATTTTATCTAAAAAAAACCCTTTTTGCGTTTGTGTCCTTTATAAAGTTTATATCTCTGCTACCGGGTGTTATATATTTTATGACACACACGGCACGGCCCAGCAAAGTCTCATTTATGACAGATCCGGCCCTCGTAAGAAATGAGTTTGACACCCCTGCTCTAGGCTCTCAGGTAGAGAAAGGCCTTTCCCAGCACCTGTTTCTTGAGCTCCTCCTGTGCGAGGTAGCAAACACTGGCTCTTCTGCATGCAAAGCCATTCCGCTACAAGCCCTTTGCCAATTTCTTTTGACCGGGGGTGGGGGTGGGTTATGATTGATTGTACTGAGTTTTTTCGTAATGACACAGAAGTCAAATATAAATCATCTTGAATGTCTGGCTAGAAAGGTGGGGTATACATTACTTTAATAACCATTACAAAGTCAAACATTCATTCGCGGGTGAAAATTATTTCCCTATCCCTTCTATCAAGAAGCAACCCACCCAACCCAATTTTCAACAAAACAAAGTCTGAGTCCATTGACACCTTTAAGACCAATAAAGTTTTATTCAAGGTATAAGCTTTCGTGTGCATGCGCACTTCTGTATTAACTTTGGTGTAGTGGTGTAGTGGAATATAAGGAAGGCCGAGCGCCGAAGAATAGATTCTTTTGAACTATGGTGCTGGAGAAGACTCTTGAGAGTCCCTTGGACTGCAAGAAGATCAAATCAGTCAATCCTAAAAGAAATCAACCCTGACTGTTCCCTGGAAGGCCAGATAATGAAACTGAAGCTCAAATACTTTGGCCACCAAATGAGAAGGGAGCACTCACTGGAGAAGACCCTGATGCTGGGAAAGATGGAAGGTCAAAGAAGACGGGGACGGCAAAGGATGAGATGGTTGGACAGTGTCATCGATGCAATGAACATGAAACTGAGCAAACTTCAGAGGACAGCGGAAGACCGGAAGGCCTGCCGTGACCTGGTCCATGGGGTCGCAAAGAGTCGGACTCGACTGTGCGACTGAACAACAAAAAAAAGTGGTTAAGTGTGTGGACTCTAATCTGGGAGAACCGAGTTTGATTCCCCACTCCTCCACATGCAGCTGCTGGATGACCTTGGGCAAGCCACAGTTCCGTCAGAGCTGTTCTGGAAAAAGAGCAGTTTCTGTCAAGAGCTCTCTCAGCCCCACCTACCTCACAGGGTGTCTGTTGTGGGGAGGGGAAGGGAAAGGAGTTTGTAAGCCGCTCTGAGACTCCTTTGGGTAGTGAAGGGTGGGGTATAAATCCAATCTCGTCTCTTCTCTTAAATTAAATTTTATTTGTCTTAAATAAAATCAAACTTTGTTTGTCTTAAACTTTGAATAAAACTTGGTCTTAAAGGTGCCCCTGGACTCAAACTTTCTTCTGCTGCTTCAGACCAACACGGCTGCCCCCCACCTGAATCTGTTTTCAACAAAGCTGCGCCTGTCACAACAACATTTCTTTAAATTTCCGTGCAGCAATTCGGAATAGCCACAGTTTTAAAGGCAGTCTGAAATTGATCACTCACCAGCAAATACTGCAGGAGAGATGGCATGTGGGGAACCTTCAAGTAAATCCCGCCAGTAATATCACAAGCCTGGAAAACAGGTCATCATCCTCTTTTTTAAACATGGCGGCACCACACCAACAACAGGCCACGTTTGCAAGCGCCTAGACCTCACGATTGTGAACAAAGATCGAAAATGGAAGGTTGACAAATGACTAAAAGTTCAGCTACCGGGAAATGTTTTGATTCCAAGAAGCTTATCTCAAGGTTTTTATGGAGCTTCCTTGAAATACACAAAGCTAGTGTGGAGAGCCAGTTTGGTGTAGTGGTTAAGTGTGTGGACTCTAATCTGGGAGAACTGGGTTTGATTCCCCACTCCTCCACTTGCACCTGCTGGATGACCTTGGGCAAGCCATAGTTCTGATAAGAGCTGTTCTTGGAAGAGAGCAGCTTCTGTTAAGAGCTCTCTCAGCCCCGCCTACCTCACAGGGTGTCTGTTGTGGGGAGGGGAAGGGAAAGGAGTTTGTAAGCCGCTCTGAGACACCTTTGGGTAGTGAAGGGCGGGGTATAAATGCAATCTCTTCTTCTTCTTCTAAAGAATATTAATGAGTCTCTTCCAGGCTCAAACTGCATGCACTTACATGCACATTTGGAGTGACTCTCCAGATATAGCTGCAGCCTTTCTTGCTTCTGGAGAAAGATACCATCTGTGCCGCTCTGCATGTGGTTGCAAACTCTCTCCCCCAGGAAAACCCACTTGGCTCCTCTGCTCTAGGCATGGCAGGGTTGGGTGGGCAGCCTTTAATGAAGGCCAATTTTGTTCCCCGTTACTCTTTGATTGCTGACTGTTCTTCTGTTTTTTAAATCCCCTGCCTCCATGCTCTTGGGTGGCTTGCTTTTATTGGCTTGAACTTCTATCGCTGCTTTTTTTCATCTTCTGCGCTGGTCTTCTTGCTGCTTCGAAGCTTTATGCTGGGGGGGGGGTTATGAACTGCTGTGCTTTTGTTAATGAGATATGGCAGTTCTGTATTGTTCTTAGAATCACAGAATTGGAAGGGACTTCCAGGGTCATCTAGTCCAACCCCCTGCGCAAGGCAGGAAATTAACAACTACCGCCCCACCCCGCACCCCCGGTGACCGCTGTTTCACACTCAGAAGATGGCAAGAAAACCTCCAGGATCCCCAGCCAATCTGGCATGGAGAAAAATTGCTTCCTGACCCCAAAGTGACGATCAGCATTTCCTTTGGGTATGTAAGGAAGGGCCACGAGAACTAAGCACTGAGCCCACCCTCCCTGCCCTCCCTTCTCGTGATCTGTCCAAGTTCACAGGATCCGCATTGCTGCCAGGTGGCCACCTAGCCTCTGCTTGAAAACCTCCAAAGAAGAAGAGCCCACCATCTCCCGAGGAAGCCCGTCCCACCGAGGAACTGCTCTGTCAGGAAGGTCTTAGCTTTGTAGATCATCCCACCACCTTTCCCCAGATCTGCCCTCTCCTCGAGGCTTGGAAAGAAGATGAACAAGCAATAAAACACAGATTGTACCTGCTGCAAGAGCCCCGAATCAGAGTCCAAAACGCAGGCATCGATCAAAATACTCTGAAAAGCCAAATGAACAACAACAACAAAAATTATGTTCATGGAAAGGAATGGGTGTGTATGTGTGTGTGTGTGGTGAACAGTTACATAACACAACAGAGTCCCTCTCTGTTTGGCACAGCCTGGGATACACTTGGTTTTGTGTTCCCGTTTCTTTGGAAAAGAAAGGTAGCTTCCCTTGCTTGCACCCCCAGGAAAGACAGGCAGGAGATGGGCTGATCAGAACACACTGGCAAGACAGATTCCTCCTCACTTGTACACTCAGGAGTCCCATAGCTCAAGCTTAGATTCCCTTGCATGCACCCTTCCAGGTCCAATTCCTGACGCCTCCACTTAGAAACAGCGGGGCAGCCGTTATCAGAGCCAATGATGCTCTATCAGATGGACCGACAGTCTGATTCAGTGCTGGCTGGTGGTTGGAGCGGCCTGTATTCCGCCGCTCTGCTCAGCAAAGTTTGAAGCCTTCCTCAAGCCTAAAGAGCATTCCTCCAATTTAATTCCAAGTGAGCTGACCTGCAGTAAAAGAGCAAGATTCAAGTCCGGCAGCATCTCAAGAGAACAGTGAGGTTTCCAAATCCAGGGTATAAACTTTCAAGAGTCATGGCTCCCTTTGCCAGATGCTGACAAAGGGAGTGTAATGATTTCAAGTTACAAGTGTGTGTTCCTTTAAAATGGTTGGTAAGTGTCAGTAGAACAAGGGTGGGTGAAAGAGGGAGATGAGTGAATGAGGTGACTGGTTGGTGATGGAGAGTGTGTGAGCGGAGCTAGGAAGTGTGTGTGTGAGGAGAGAGAGAAGGCAGAGTGTTCAGTTTGGAGTTTGAGTCTGAAGTGTTCAGTCAGCAGTCAGTTGTGGTCAATCTACAAAGGCAGAGAAACAGTCTTCCAAATAGAATCATACAGAGGTGCTGTGAAAGGCATTAAGATTCTAAAAGAGGAAGAACATATACTTAAGGGGGCATTTAGGCAAAATCTAATAGAGTATTTTAAGACTGTGAGGGGGAAAAGCTGACAGAGACCTGAGAAAAAGGGAAAGATTCTACTAAGCAACTTAACAAATCATCCTGTAATCATCCTGTAGAGACCCAAACTACAAAGAATTGCTGCAAAACGTTCACAAATTTACAAAAACATGACAGTAATATGTAGACATTTTCATGATGTTTAAATTCCAAATGTCTTCTTTATTCCACAGATCAACAAATGACGAACATCTCGAGTTTCCAGAGTTCGTTTCGTGGTCTTTATCAAAAAACCTATTCAAGATAAACAACATTGGGGGGGGGGGATTCTCTGGTTGTATATTATGTACTATATTGTATATTATGTACTATATTAGACTTTGTATATTATGTACTATATTACTATATTATGTACTATATTATGTACTATATTAGACTTTGCAGTGTGACCATTGAATGCCTGTAACTGATAAGTTGGCCTCCATGACAAATGAAGACATGTGATCTGATATTTACATATATAATACTTGCTCACCTTTAATGGCCAAGACGTTGTCCGTTGAAAAAGTATTGTTGGTTAACTTAAGAGCTATTTATAGCCATTCTGGTAAGATATGAGCTTATGCTTATGAGCCATCCTTTAACTTTTTAATGTATGTAATAAGCTATACTGATGATATTATTTATTTGATTATAGAAATTGAGATTCCTAATAGTGGATTGCTTGGAAAAATTCAGCAAAACAGTATGTATGAAAACAATATTTATTGACATTTTATAGCTTGTTGAAGTCGGGATTCCTGTTTCCCATTGTGAATGTTGTTTATCTTGAATAAAGAAGACATTTGGAATTTAAACATCATGAAAATGTCTACACATTACTGTCATGTTTTTGTAAATTTGTGAACATTTTGCAGCAATTCTTTGTAATTTGGGTTATTCAGATTGCTGTGCCCTTTATTGCATCATCCTGTAGAGAGCCAGTTTGGTGTCGTGGTTAAGTGCGCGGACTCTAATCTGGGAGAACCGGATTTGATTCCCCACTCCTCCACTTGCACCTGGCTGGATGACCTTGGGCAAGCCATAGTTCTGTTCTTGAAAAAAGAGCAGTTTCTGTCAAGAGCTCTCTCAGGCCCACCTACCTCACAGGCAGTGTTCCCTCTAAGCTGAGTTAGGGTGAGCTAGCTCACGGTTTTTTAGCCTCTGGTTCACACATTTTTGCCTTAGCTCAGGAAGGACGCCTCCAGAGCAAACTAATTTATGCAGTAGCACACAACTTTAATGCCGGTACCTCACAAAGTAGAATTTTTGCTCACAAGACTACACAGCTTAGAGGGAGCATTGCTCACAGGGTGTCTGTTGTGGGGAGGGGAAGGGAAAGGAGTTTGTAAGCTGCTCTGAGACACCTTTGGGTAGTGAAGGGAGGGGTATAAATCTAATCTCTTCTTCTTCTTCCCCCCAATACGCTTCTTTTACCAATAAAGTTTTATCATGCTTATTGTTAACCCAGAGTCTCATCCTCAGAACCACATAGTCCAACGAAGGAGCCTTAGAGTTTGGGCACAACACTGTGGGAAAGGTTAATTAAAGTCTGGAATTAAATTCCTGGTGGTGGCGATAGATACTTTGAGTGAGTGAAAGAAACAACAAGAAATTTAAAACTACTTCACACCTAACCACACAAAACAAGAGAGAGGTACCGTCACGGGGAGGTTTGACACTCAAACGCTTACACCCTAAAACTCTTGTTGGTCTTTCAGAAGCCACCAGACTCGAGCCTTGCTCTTCCTCCAAGTTAAAGCAGCTCTTTCTCCAGTGGAAAAGCACTTAAGGTTGGAGGAAGGTCCTTAGGCTGGGAGCAAAGCTTCGCTTTTTTTTTTTTTGCCAGAGCCCTGACCATCCTCGGATTCTTGGATGTCAACATCATTTTTAAAGAACTAGACCCAGTACTCTAGGATGGAGTCCAACGAGAATCGTCAGGATGAGAGACGGTCTTTACAGGCCGTGGTTATAACCAGCTTGGGGGGAGAATCACCTGCTTCTGAGCGGCAAAGATGACATTCATGAAGTTCATGTACTGCAGCGCACTGTCCTCTGCCGCTTTGATGACCTGGCAAAGAGACGCAGGCGGGCGTTAGTCCACGTGCTCCACTCGGCCAAGTTCACAGGTTGTCAAGATTTGTTATGGGAACTGGGGCGGGGGAAGGGTCTTACCAGAATCCGAGACTTAATTTCTTGGCTGCCTAGTTGAGAAGAGAAGAAAAGAGAATGTTAGAGCCATCCTAGGCCATTTCACAGAGTATTATTGTTATTATTTATTTCATTAAACTTACGAATCGCCCACCATGCGAGCATATACAATCAGTATATATAAAGTCGGCTAACAGTCGCCTCTGGAATCGTGGCAGCTCTGGCCATGCCGCCCCCCGACAGGGGGGAGGAAGCAGGCTGAAAGCCTTGCACGGGCCCACCAGCTCCAATTGGGGCACAGCGTTTGCCAGCTCTGTGACTTCATGGCAAAGATGTCAAGGAACGGAGCTTCCATCCACCGCTGGTTCTCAAGCTGAGGCAGCCCTGCCCCCTCCCAATGGAGGGAGAAAGAGTGGGTGGGCAGAAATCTGGACCGTCACCTCCATTATGTCCCCGGGAGAGCCTTGCGCTCTTCAAATAGTAACTTACTGGCGGTCCCCAGCCCCAAAGACATCCAGCTGTCCTCAACCAGGGCCAGGGACATTTCCGTCCTGGCCCCAACTTGGTGAAACTCTCTGCCTGAGTACCATTGAGGCCCTGTCGGACCTTAAGGAATTCCGCAGGGCCTGCAAGGCTGAGATGTTCCGCCAGGCCTTTGGTTGAGGACAGCAACCGTTTCCATCTCATCTGGCGCCCTCTTCCGCTCTCTACCTTTGCCTTCCCCCCTGCCCACGAAGTGACTGGCAGTCCGAAAATGGGATTAATTTGTCCACCATCTGTTTTTAAAAAGTGCTGCTCGATATTGTTTTATCTAGTGTATGTTGTTATTCATATTGTACATTGCCCGGAGCCCTGCAGTAGCAGGGATTGGGTGATTAATAAATTTAATAGAATAATAATTAAAACAACAGCAGCAGCAGCAACTCCGTGAGGTGAGGTGAAGATGCCAACGGATGGTGCCTCCAGCCATTGCCAGCTTCACCTCTGGAGTTGTGGCTGCCCAACGAGGAGGAGAAATGGAGAAAAGCCTGGCTTAGACTTCCCAGCTCCAAGCAAGGTCTAACAATGAATAAATATACACTGCAAGAGATTTTTACAAACAACCAGGGATCATTTCCTGCAGGAGCGCACAGGAGCGGAGCTCCGGCAGTAAAGAGCCCAGGGGGCGGGCACATGCAAGAAGCCCCACCCCCTGCTCCCAGCAGCCCTCAGTCAGCCCAGAGAGCAGCCAGGTAAGTTGCAGAGCCCCCCCCCCCGTCCCCCCGGTTCAAAACAGTCCAGTGGCACCTTTACATCCAAGTCTTATTCAGGTACAAGCTCTCCCTCCTCTGCGAGGACAGATCTGCACATTCCCCCCCCCCCAATAGCTAGCAATCCAAAACAGTCCAGTGGAGCCTGAGCAGTGGATATTGCCTTCTGACACACCTCCAGTGATGTCAGGGGTGTGGCATATGCAAATAAGTTATGCTAATGAGCTATGCTAATGAGCTCCTGCACCTCTTTTTCTACCAAATGACCCCTGCAAACAACCATGTTCTATTTGTAACTATCATGCTATAAAGTGCATAGTGTGCCATTATTACATCCTTGTCAGGTACATGCAGTCTTTGAGAATGACAGGAGCGCTCCGTCCATGAATCTTAGCTGCACAATTCGTTTGTAGGACCGGCAATAAGCATCAAGAGAATACAATTGAAAGCTTCCCCCTCCCCTTTGGAAAACTTTGTGCAAGTAGAAGCGGGCTTGCAATTACGGAAACTCTCGTTGGGGGTTGACTTTTTAAAAATACCCACAGGGGAATTACAACACATGTGAGTCTACCCCCACAGCCAGTAATTCTGAGACTCCATCTTTGAGCTTTGCCCAGGGACCCGGAATCACCAAGACCGCACTAAACGCCCCCAAAGACCAAGCAATCATTTTGAGAGTGGAAATCGCTTTCCTAATTTGCTCCCATTTAGCCAACATCAGAGTAACAGCTTAAAGAGTCACAGTACCTTTTCCCTCTTTGGTCATCCTGTGAATATCTAAGGCACATGATATTAAGGAATCAAAGTTTTGGTGATACTTTTAAGAACATCTGGAAAACACGACAGCACAGCCTCCTGCGCTTGTAACGTTGTGGCAGAAAGAAAATTAGCGACTCTTATTTCCAAACAGATGCGTGCAGTAAATATGATGTAACTATTTTTCCTTCCTCCCCCAGAGGTCAACGCTACTTATCATTATCCTGTAAATAGGCAAAAAACGTGACCCGGCACAAACTCTTTGTCCTTCGTAAGCTTCCTCTGGTATATTCTCGGAGAGGCGGCATTAAAATGTTCTATATAAATAAAATAGATAAGCATCAAATGAAACACAGTTGAAGTGGTTAGCCCCGCTTCCTTCCTGGTTCACTGCTGGGGGGACTAAGGGGACTCAAATTAACACAGGGGTCCCCAACCCTTTTGAGCCTGTGGGCACCTTCGCAATTCTGACACAGGGTGGTGGGCACAACCACAAAATGGCTGCCACAGTAGGTGGAGCTAATTGCAAAATGGCTCCTGCAGGAGGCGGAGCCAACCACAGAAAGCCACTGATTGAGGTTACATCAAACTCTAACCCTTCGAATTCCAGGCAGAAGCTCCATTTAACAGGATGCCGGGTCTGACAATAAATGAGACCTTGTTGGGCCGGATCACGTGTGTCATAAAATGCAATGCCAGGTAGCAGAGATATAAACTTTATAAAGGACACAAACACAAAGGTTTTTTTTTTAACTTAAAATAAAAACATGCTTAAAACATTTTGTTTATTTAACAGTGCCTGATAACTGACACCTCTTGCTCTGAATTACTGCATCAAAATGTCTCTGCTGTTGATCCTGAGTATGTTGTTCAGGTGTGTATCTGTAAGCTGCAGACCTACGATGACGCAGCAGCAGCAGAACTGGAAGAAGAAGCAGAAGACAGCCAGTTCCACTGCAGGCCTGATAGAAGCCCTTTGGGGGCCTGATCTGGACCCCGGGCCACATGTTTGACACCCCTGGATTAAAGAGATGGAACACTTTTTCTATCAAGAAAGGTTAAAGAGGTCAGGGCTCTTTAGCTTGGAGAAATGATGATTGAGGGGTGACGTGATAGAGGTTTACAAAACTATACATGGGATAGAGACGGTAGAGAAAGAAGTCCTTTTCTCCTTCTCTCACAATACAAGAACTCTTGGGCACTCAATGAAATTGATGAGGGCTTCTAGTTTCCTGGTAGACCTCCTGATGGCACATGGGATTTTTGGCCCCTGTGTGACACAGGGTGTTGGACTGGATGGACCATTGGCCTGATCCAACATTGGCTTCTCTTATGTTCTTATGAGCAGTAGGTTTAGGATAAAAGGAAGTACTTCTTCACACAAAGAGTAATTAACATGTGGAATTCACTGCTGCAAGAAGTGGTGGCAGCTTCAAGGATAGACAGCTTCAAGAAAGGATTGCAGAAACATATGGAGCAGAGGTCCATGAGTGGCTATTAGCCACAAGGTATAGATGGAACACGGGGCTGTGGTAGCTCAAGAGGTTAAGATGCTGAACTGCAGAGCGGAAAGTCGGTAGTTCGGCAGTTCGAGACCCGAGTGCCGCGTGACAGAGTGAGCTCCCATCTCTGGTCCCGGCTCCTGCCAACCTAGCAGTTCGAAAGCAAGAAATTGCAAGTAGATAAATAGGTACCGCTTCGGTGGGAAGGTAACAGCGTTCTGTGCACCTCAGCGTCTAGTCATGCCGGCCACATGACCATGGAAATGTTGTTAGACAGCGCTCGCTCTTCAGCTGGGAAATGGAGATGAGCACCACATCCCTAGAGTCGGATTCGAATGGCTTTCGAGCAAGGGAAACCTTTACCTTTACCAATAGATGGCAGTGATGATCTGTATTCTTGGTGATTGGGGGCAAAAGTGGGAGGGCTTCTGGAGTTCTGGGCCCGCTGGTGGACCTCCTGACGGCACCTTGGCCACTGTGTGACTGGATGGGCCACTGGCCTGATCCAGCACAGCTTCACTTATGTTCCCCTCAGTTCAATCCCCAGCATCGCCAGCTAAAGAGCAGACATAGACAGGAATAATGAAGCTGCCTTATACTGAATCAGACCACTGGTCCATCGAGGTCAGTATAGTCTACTCAGACTGGCAGCGGCTCTCCAGGATCTCGGGCAGAGGTCTTTCACATCACCTAACCCGTTCCTTTCAACTGGAAATGCCGGGGATTGAACCTGGCACCTTCTGCATGCAAAGCACAAGCTCTTCCACTGAGCCACGGCGCCTTCCCTAATCTCAAGGAGAAAGTCCCAGGAAAGACCCTTTCTCCACCTGAGACCCTGGAAAGCTCCTGCCCATCAGAGTAAGTCGAAGAACGGATACTCTGGGTCTCTCTAAAACAACTTGGCAAGTTCTCTCCTCCACTGTGGAAATATACACTGTAAGCTCCTTGGGGACAGAGGCCTGTCTCTCTCACACTATTCTTTTTTCTTATTAAATTCTGAACCATTGCTGGGTGGCTCTGTGCAATTCACAAATAAGTGTCATCTAAACTCCCTGCAGCTGGGAGAATAGCTTCGTGCACTGAATAACGAAAACATCTGGACAATCGGCTTCCGGTCGAGCCAAGATGGAGGACTGACGCACTTTCACTTTTGTGCGAAGTGGGCGACGGCTGCTTTTGACAGTTTGGGCAGTTTCTAGCCCAGCGCATCGCTCCCCAGCGAGGGGGGGGGACAAGCAGGCAGCAGCGCCTAAGAGGGAGTGTTAGGTTGGCGTGATTCCGCTTCGGAAGAAGCGGAAACAGGCTTTGATCTCCTCCCGCGAAGAAGGCAATTGCCGAGCAACTCTCCAGCAGCGCTTTTTTAAGCTTCATGTGGTAAGAAAAGCACTATTTGTGGTATGGATGAGGTATAAAAAATACTTTTGTGATGTAAGACCATTGTGGATTGTACCAGTGGAAGTGTTAACATCTTACTCAAGACATAGAGATAAAGATTGGTTGCCATATAAAGATCTAATTAAAAAAGTGGGAACAGAATGGGTAATGAAAAAGCAGAATGAAATTGAATATGATTATGAATGGCTGAAATATATGCAGATTTTTGACCTTTTTAGATCAGACAAAAGAAACTATGGTTTTAGAGAGGAAAAAAATGAGATTGAAATGATTTGGGAGAGTGAAGGGGGAAAAAATATCTCTAAAATGTATAAAGTGTTACTAAAATGGTATACTGAAGATGAGACTGTAAAAGGGCAAATGATAAAATGGGCGATAAATATGAATACGGAAGTGGCTATTGAAACCTGGGAATATTTGTGGAAAAATTCTATTAAGATATCGCCTTGTACCAATGTTAGAGAGAATTGTTATAAAATGATGTATAGGTGGTACATGACTCCGAAAAAAATTGCAAATATGAACCAGAATATGTCAAATAAGTGTTGGAAATGTAAAAGCCATGAAGGCTCATTTTACCACATGTGGTGGACTTGTGAGAAAGCAGTTGACTTTTGGACAAAAGTCCACAATGAAATGCAAAAAATTTTGAAATGCTCTTTTAAAAAGGCACCGGAAATTCTGCTTTTAGGATTGAAAATGGAAGAAGTCAATACAACTAAAAAGACTTTATTCTGGTACTTAATCACAACAGCGAGAATGATTTATGCACAATTTTGGAAAACAGAGAAAGTACCAGAAATTGAGGACTGGATACAAAAAGTTCTGTTCATGGCAGAGATGGACAAAATTACGAAGAAATTGAACAATAAAGAAGACGACGTGTTTTTTCAAGAATGGAGTGACTTTAAAATATATCTGGAAAAGAACTGGGATGTGAAACAAAACTTAATATGTTTAGACCAATATTAAGTCAAATGATGTTATCTTTAGATTGTAATGATAAGAAACTGATATTGTTGATGATATGAAGCAATTTGGAGCAGGGGTGGAAGCATTGTGGGAAGCCAATGGAGGGAGGGGAGGAACTGGGAATGGGGTAGACAATTGATAGAATGAAATGATTTAATTTTACATGTTGTATTCCTGAAAATAAAATTTGTTTACCGAAAAAAAAAGAAAACATCTGGACAATCGAAAGGATACAGCAGAGAGCTTTGGCAAGGGACCCCGCGAGTAACGTTTCAGTCTGCTGGCCTTTAAGTTCGGCTGCAATTAAGGGGGGGGGGGAGAACGGTTATACATTCATTTCTTGGCTTGAACACTGTACAGTTGCTAACAGCGCTGCTTCCCCTCCCCCAGGCCATAGAGTCTTCTTCTGGTACTCATGATGCCCACAGGGAAATCAACCAGACAGCCAGAGAAGCCTGCTGCTCAAAAAGGGGTCTAGAAAACCATTAAAAGCAAGAAAGAGATGCAGGATGGAACAAACTGGACCAGAAAGTCATCTCACTTGTGGTTATGAGGTCCTTTATCTCCTCCGCAATGGTTTCATTTATGGTGGTCAATAACTCATACTTCCCGTCTTTGCTGCCGGAAATGTTGGATTCTAGAGAGTTCCCTGCAGCCTCCCCAAAGAGATCGGCAGCTGCCCAGCGCTTTCCAGGGAACAGGAAGCGACTGCAAGAAAACAGAGTTACTGTAATTTCCATGTTTTGGGGTGGGGGTGTCTTTAAATGTTGAGTTTGACTGCAGTAATGTAAGGAGAGTGACAGAGGGTGACAAGTGTGATTTGATTGGCTGTTGACTGAGAGTGGGAGGAGGGATGTCTGAAAGGAATCTGTGTGTGTCTTTGAGGAGATTCTGTGATCTGAGAGAGACAAGTATGGAAGAATTTTGAAGAGAGTCTGTATGACTCTGAGAGTTATGAAGGATTCTGTGTGTGAAGCTTGAAGAGAGAACATGGTCTGTGTGACTATGGAATTCTGAGTCTAATTCTGTGTGAATAAGACCAACAGTTTAGTCTGTGTGACTAAGAGAGCTGATTCTATTCAGTGTGAATAAAACAGAGACTAGCCTGTGTGGCTATATATATGAGTGTATAAGCCTGTCAGAGTGGTGTTTGTAGTTTGAGAGACTGTTTGTGGCACCAAGCTTTGCCAGTTATATTTAAAAGTTCCTTTCGTCAGCAACTGTTCAAAATGACCAGAAATCTATTTTGTTCTTTATTAAATAAATAATTTTTTGTTTAAACTTATCCCAGAAATCAGTACAGTACTTCCTCAGGGCCACATAGTCCTCTAAAGTGCCCAGACCCTGGGTCATTCTACCAAAAGAGAACTGGAATTTTTAATTCCTGATGGCAGCAGAAAACTACCAAGTTTATATACACAGAGAGTGTTTAAAGGTAAAACCATTTCCCCTATAAGCAAGCACCCCACAGTTACGTTTAGTGATAAAGAACTATATCATAAACATTAATGTGAAAATCAGATTTTGGAGAAACAACAGGTATATCAGAGAGAAAGGAAGAAAATGTGCCATTCATTTCTACATTATCATGTTCCATCGATAAGATTCCTGTTTGCTGCATGTATTATCCCACTGTCACTGCATTCTTTTCTTTGATGTAACACCATTTTTCTGCACTGTATCTGCAATCTGTGGATTTTAAAACTCTATGCTTGTCCAGATTTCTGTCCATTGTTTATCAGATGTCTCATCATATTGAATGTATTGTCCTAAGCTGCGTATTCCACTCTAAGTCTCAGTAAGCACAAGGCAGCCTACATACATGGCGAATAAATAAACCTGTGAGGTAGGTTAGGCCATCGATGCATTTTTGAGGGTTCCCTTGGGAGAACACCAACAAGCTCATAGGTAAGCAGCCAAACTCCAGGAATCGTCTCGCTGAAACGGACCCAAGAGCCACCTAGTTCCACATTCTGCTTCCAAAAGAAGCAGGATGCGATACACTGCCTTCCCCAGAATCTGGTATTCAGAGTTATCCTCCCTTTTTTTTTTTAATTTACACTTATTCAAAACAAAGTCACAACAGCTGATCAAAAAATCAAAGGCACAGATATAGAATGGGAGGGGCTTGGCTTGACAGCAGCATGTGTGAAAGGGATCTAGGTGTTCTGGTTGATCACAAGCTAAACATGAGCCTGCGGTGTGATGTGACTGCGAAGAAAGCTAATGCAATCTTAGGATGCATTAACAGAAGCATTGTGTTCAGAACACGGCAGGTGGTAGTTGCGCTCTGTTCTGCTATGGTCAGGCCTCACCTGGAGTACTGTGTCCAGTTTGGGGCACCACATTTTAGGAAAGATGTTGACAAGCTCGAGTGTGTCCAGAGGAGGGCAACCAGGATGGTGAGAGGGTTGGAATCCAAGCCAGTTTGGTGTAGTGGTTAAGTGTGCGGACTCTAATCTGGGAGAACAGGGTTTGAGTCCCCACTCCACCACTTGCACCTGCTGATGTGACCTTGGGTCATTCACAAGCTCTGGCACAGCTGTCCTTGAAAAAGAGCAGTTTGTGTCAGAGTTCTCACAGCCCCACACACCTCACAGGGTGTCTGTTGTGGGGAGGGGAAGGGAAAGGAGTTTGTAAGCCGCTCTGAGACTCCAAGTGAAGGGCGGGGTATAAATCCAATGTCGTCATCTTCTTCTTCTTCTTCTTATGAGGAAAGGCTGAAAGAGCTGGGTCTGTTTAGCCTGGGAAAGAGAAGGCTTAGAGGGGACATGACTGCAGTCTTCAAATATTTGAAGGGCTGTCATGTAGAAGATGGAGTGGATCTATTCTCTCTTGCTCTGGATTGCAAGACTAGATCTAACGGGTGGAAATGACAAGGGAGTCATTACCGGCTAAATATCAGGAGAAACTTCCTAGCTGTCAGAGTGGTTGAGCAGCGGAACAGGCTGCCTCGGGAGGTGGTGGAAGCTCCTTCGCTGGACATTTTCAAGCGGAGGCTGGACGACCATCTTTCGGGTATGTAGGGCTCTCTTTCGGCTACGCTCCTGCAGAGTGCAGGGGGCTCGACCAGATGACCTGCAAGGTCCCTTCCAACTCTATGATTCTATTCCACTATACCTGTTCCATCTGACTTACAATACCCTTCCAAGTTATATCAATCCAAAAAATATCTATTTTTCTGTAAAACTGCCAACTTCACACTCATATAAAAAGTTTTAGCTTTATCCACAAAGGCTCTTCATGTTGGGAGTTTTCTTTTTTTTGTAGCAGGAACTCCTTTCCATATCAGGCGACACACCCCTAATGTAGCCAATCCTCCAAGAGCTTACAGAGCTCTTCTTACAGGGGCTACTGTAAGCTCTTGGAGGATTGGTTACATTAGGGGTGTGTCGCCTAATATGCAAAAGAATTCCTGCTACAAAAAGAGCCCTGCCTAGCCGATTCCAATCTGGCAGCCACAATAATATATAGCATCAGAGTCCAAAGTTTCTTCGGTATCCTCCCCTCTTAACTACATCTCTTCCCCCCTCTGGCTATGTCCCAGGGGGCCACTCCACTGTAACCCAAAATGCCGCAATACCTTTCTTGTACATGACTGGCGACCACGGCAAGCTTGTTGTTACGGTTCATAAATAAGTGACAGTTGCCCAACACCATGACTGCATCGAGGCATTTTGACAACGTAAACTGCCAGGAAAGGAAAAATATATATATCAATGGGAGCAAACATACAGAGAATGCAAATGAAATCAGGGAGCATTTTGGCAAACTGTATATATTTTAAAGAGAAATCAAATTTTTAAGAGATTTGTTTTATTTTAAGGAAACACGAACGTTCGAGCAGCGAATCATTAGTTGCAGGTCTGTGAACTTTACATGTAGATTTTCTTTCGCTATTCCGATGTTTCATTCTGACCAGGCTGGATGTACAAAATGGGGTCTCGGATTGGGAAATAGCCTCCCTCAATTCCTAAGCGCCTCAACTGTATCCAGACGTACCCATAATTCAGTTCCAAGAGTGCAGCAAGACGTATTTTCCAAGTAAGCATGTTTCGGACTACATCCTTACCCGGAAGTTACTCTGTAAGCAGCAAAGACTTCATATAAGAAAAGCTCTAGTTCCAACTGGATTGTAACATCTAAATTCAGAGTTATTTATTTATTTAACACGTTCATTGGCCGCCTTTCTACCTTGCGGAACTCAAGGTGCTTTACGATGTAAATAGAACAACTAATATTAAAAACACATAAAAGACCACAGTTTAAAATCCCAATTAGGACTGCCAATAAATAAAAACTAAATCAAGGTGGGGGTAGCCGTGTTGGTCTGAAACAATAGAGCAAAATTTGAGTCCAGTGGCACCCTTAAGACCAACAAAGCTTAATTCTGGGCGTGAGCTTTTGTGTGCACGCACACTTAGTCAGACGATGAAATGGAATTACGTATCATAGTTGTATATCTGGGAGTGTCTTGTTAAATTAGCATGCAAAACAGTGAAGATGGTTCTTTAACAGATCAAAAGAGTGACAGCTGAGGACACATCAATCTCCAGTTCTGACATATTTGTTACCTATGTTGTTCCACCTCTCCCCAAAGTTGAACCCAAACAGATGATAACTGATAACCAGAAACCCAGCTTGTCACTCTTTTGATCTATTTTGCACGCTAATTTAACAAGACACCCTTATATATACAACTATGATATGCAGGGCCTTTTTGTAGAAAAAGCCCAGCAGGAACTCATTAGCATAATAGGCCACACCCAACAGCAGAAATGCATTAGCATATCAGGCCACACCCCTGACAGCACAGCTCATTGGCATATTAGGCCACACCCCCATGTTACCAGAAGTGTGCTCATCCAGCCACACCCACCTTTCCCTTCTTATTCTGTTTACCTTGTTTGTTGTCAAAACCCAGGGCTTTTTAAACTCCTTTGCATGTTAGGCCACACACCCCTAATGTAGCCAATCCTAGTGAGTTTCTGCTGCTGGGTGTGGCCTATTATGCTAATGAGTTCCTGCTGGGCATGGCCAACTTGGGAGCCAGCCGGAACTCCGTTCCTATGCGTTCCTGCCCCAAGATAGCCCTGATGATATGTAATTCCGTTTCATCGTCTGACTAAGTGTGCGTGCACACGAAAGCTCACGCCTTGAATAAAACTTTGTTGGTCTTAAAGGTGCCATTAGACTCTAAATAAGAACTAAGATAGTCAAAGGCCGTCCTAAATAAAACTGTCTTCAGCTGCTTCCTAAATACTGAAAATGAGGTGGGCCAGGTGCACTTCCCTGGGGAGGCTGTTCTACAAATGAGGGGCTGCCACTGAAAAGGCCATCCCTTATGCGCCCAGCAGATGAACTTCTTTGATTGGTGGGGCAGTCAGGAGGGCCTCTCCCTGTGGGTTATGAAGAAACACAGCATAACAAACAAACAACTTTATGAGATGGGGGTTGGACTAGATGACCCTAGAGGTCTCTTCCAACGCTATGATTCCATATATTGTGCAGTCCTACCTCAGATCTTGCTATTGCCTGCTTTCCCCACCAGATGGGATTGGTGTCGACTACGATGACTAGCAGATTCAGTTCCTCATCTAGAAAAACAAAGACACACACATCAGAAAACACAGGTCGACGGCTTCCATACGGGGAGATCGGACGTTTACTGTAAGAAAAGTCAGATTTGTTCGGCAGCCTCCAATCACCAGTGCAAACAATGATGAAAACAACCGTGATGTAGTATTATGAAAATATATTTAGACTGCTGTTTTGCAGTGAGTAGTGTTTCTTCAACAAGTGATAAATATGTATGCATACACACAACGGTATTTGCATATACTCCCGTTTCACATGACAGCTTTTTCTAAGTGTGCTGCGTAAGTAGCATTCGTTTACACATCAACAATTCTAATCTGTGAATTAACCCTCAACATTCTTCCCACTCCAATGAAACAGATCCTTCCCGTGCTCATAAGTTCAAGAAACACTACTCACTGCAAAATAGCAGTCTAAAGATATTTTCATAATACTACATCACGGTTGTTTTCATCATTGTTTGCATCCTTCCCGTGATCTCTCTGTTGTTTCTCCAATCTAATCCCGATCTAATCTACTGACAGTCAACGATTGGGAGCCAACACTGTCTCGTCCATCACTCAATGGGGCATTTGCCCCACGTTCTAGGGAAGTGGGCAAGGCTGTTGCCCAGCAGGGCTTGTGGCTGGCAGGTGGTTCCTACACTGAAACAGCTGCTGCCAAGGGAACTGGAGGGGCCTTCTCCAGCCACCTCCCACCTTTCTTCACAGCCTCCACACTCTTATCGAGAAGAAAGCAATCTAAACACAGAGAACAGAAAAGCCAACACAGCAGCAGACACCCTGGAAATGAGCAAACTGACCACAGTGGGGATGCGTGGGTTGGCTGACTCCCCTTTCTCCACAGCCTGTTTGCTCTCCTCTGGGAGCCTTGGCCACAACATGGTCTGGCCCAGCCTGCTGTGCCTCATGCTGGGGACAGAGTGAGAAGGCAGAGAGGGGAAGGCCTC